AAAATTACATTTAGATCTCATGGAACTTTGCAGGCAGCATATGTCTGGTGCTCACAGCGAGGGCTTGGGCAGCTGTCCCTGTCTGATAACTTGTGAGGTGTTGGTGTGACTGAATTGATAGATTGTGGTGTCAGGACTGTGGGAAGAGAAAAGCCACCTTGCACTGGCCTCCCTTTTCTTCTAAGAAGAAAAGCTGAACATGTGCCTTTCATACGGGGATAAGGATGAGAGAGCTGGAGGCAGAGCAGCCATGGACCCTGCAACCTCTTTTCCAGATTCCAAGGAAATCAAAGTAGGAAGGATTCAGAACTCCAGGAGCCAGTTCTGGCTGATGCTATTGCTTCATTTGGCCTCTGGATAAACTGAAGGGAATACATAGCAAAGTTTAGTGGAAGAGAGAAAGCAGTTTCCTGGAGGGGCCACCATCAGGGAGATGGTTCTATCCAGGAGTAACTCCCTGTCTATCATCTGACCACTCAAAAGAAAGAGCTTGAAACTTGGATTATAGCACTCACTTTCTACTTCCCAGCTGAGTGAACTTGGGCACCTCACTTAAACTCTTTGATGTGCCCAAAATGGGGAGAATTACTGTAACTCCCAGGATTGTCTGTCACAGGTCTAAAGGAACTCTCAAGTTTAGGTGAAATTGCACAGCCTGACACATTTAATAATGATGGATTAGCGGGGCGATGAGGTTGGGATGAGTTAAGGTGAAGGCCTGGGTGAAGGGCATGCTGGAGCCGTGGACTGGCATTTTGTAATGGTCATGTGTGCATTCCGGTCACCTGGTGACCTCGGCCAAGTCCTCTGATATCTCTGCTCAGCCTCCTCTATGAAATGGGATTAATGATAGTGCCCTTTTCATAAGGTTATTGGAGGGCCAGATAGGCTATCAAACACAAAATGTTTAGAAGAGGGTCTGGCGCATAGTAAACCCCATGTAAGTGATAGTTATTAATTTTGGGCATACCTTGGGGTGTCTCCCTATTCATAGTGACCACTTCACCCACAGCCTGACCCCTCAGGTACCAGCCTCACCCTCAGTGGTGCATGCCCAGCACCCATGTGTTCAGTGAGGCCCTCACTCCCTTTCCACAGTGGATTAGTTCATTGCTCCAGGGTTTGGCCCTTCAACAAAGTCAGGCCAAATCAAAGGCCTGACTCTTGAAATTCTAAAGTTGAAGGCGACAGTAGAAAAAGGGGAAAGGGAGATAGGGAGAAGATTTGAGAGAGAGACTGATTGGCTAAATGATTCCCTATTTGGCCATACTGGAAACATGAAGAGCTATGTAGCAGCCATGTTTCCCATCTGAGAAGCAAAAAAGCTGGGGAAATTGCAGAGAAAGAAGCAATAATGAATGAAACAAACAGAGTTAAGAGATGAGGGAAGTCCTGACCACTTGGAGGCCCCTGGTTCCAGTTCCTTTGGGTTTTGGCTTCATCTTGCCCATGGGCTCTTACATCCCTAGAATTAATCCCTTCTGTTACATAAGCTTCCTCTAGTTGGTGCCTCTAACTTTCAATCAAAATGTTCTGTCTTTTAATTCAGAGAACAGAGTGCATTATGTATGGATGACATCTATATCCAGGAATTTCTGGTTATGGTATTTACAGGAGCTGATGTTCAGCCATATGGGTTGAACTGCACAGCCTCACTAAAATTCACTGTGATGCCAGAAATAGGAAAACCAGGCATGCTGAAAGATGAGAGGTGGAGGTGGCTTGTTTCAGTGTGTCTTCATGAATTAGCCAATATCTGATACCTTGATATTTTATTTTCTTTTTAGTAGATGGGCTATATCTCAATTTCAGTATTAGCCAGGCTAGTTTTAGGCAAAAAAATAAAAATAAAAAATGTGTTTTTCTTGGAATCCATCTAAACTGAGGGAAAAAAAGTTCTGCAGCTGAGTCTCAAGAACAAGTGGATCCAGGGACTTGAACATTCTGAGGATTTCAGTACATTTCCTGTCTAGGTTTCTTTCTACATGTTGGCTTCATTCTTTCCTCTTCTTTTCCCTACATAAAAGAATTAAAAATGTCTTCAGACATCTTTCTGCCACTAAAAGGCACACTCCTGTTGGTGCGTAGTTTATAGGTCCCAGGGACAGGATTTATCGGTTTAGTTGCATTGGGTATCCAGTTCTGGACCAATCACAGGACAGGCTGAAAAATGTGACTGGTTCCTCTTAGGTGAAGAGCTAACTTCCAGGACCAACTACCTGTGGCAAGGGCCACTGGCATGAATGAGCACTGCAGAAGACAGTCAGTTTTGAAGAGAACAGGAGAAAATACTAGGCAGACTCTCATAAAAATTCTCTATACCCTAAATGTTTGGGGGACCTTCCATCTACTTTGAAATTATTCCCCATTCTCTGTAAATAATGATCAGTATTCACTTTAACTGCCTATTTCATTACTTAAGAAAGTCTAGTTCTCAGTTGTTAATAAGATCTCCTTGGTATCAGAATGTCTGGTGGTGTGGGCTGGAGAGAGGGCTCTTTGACCTACTGTTCAGAGATGAGCAACTTGGATCACTATGTAACTGGGGTTCATCCATGGTCTTTTTAAAATTAAAATTAGCCTACACTAGGTTCTGAAATTATCATGTTAAACCTCAAAGTAAAGAAAACGACTAACAAAGGTGCCATGGTCTTGTTTTGGAAGTGTGTGTGTGTGTGTGTGTGTGTGTGTGCATGCGCGCAAGTGTGAGTGATTTTCTTTAAATGGGATGAATACCTAGTTTGGAATGTGATTGTCCCCTAAAGGCAGGGCATGCCCCGAATGACCTCCATTTTATGTATAATCCACTGAGGAGACATGAGTTTGCAGAAGTAAATTCTAAAGCCTTATTGATACTTACTCCCACGTTAAGCAGGGTTTTCGAACAGAAGAGCCTTTTACACTACCTTTAGCTAAATGCATAACTGTATACTATTTTTAACCACAAGACTAACTCTACTATAAACTTTGAAGGTGTCCAAATATAAGATATGAAACATTTCAATAAAACTGTTTGAGCACAAAGATGGTTTACGTGCTTCTTGGAATCTCTCTTCAGTTTCCCTTCCAGTAGGATTTCTTTCCACGTGTCCATCCATGTCCTGAGACACTTCTTTCCATAAAGAGAAAGGCTGAATGCCAAGCTCCACTCTCTGCCCATCCTCCCTACCAGCTCCCACAGCTCCTACCGTCACATGCACACATGGCCTGTCGCTGCCATCAAATAAGTAAGATCAGTTATTTAAAATTTTGGTATTTTGTTCTTCATAGATGTTTTCTGTATTAAGTACGATTTTTAAAAGATTGCATTGAACTAGTATATGTTTTTACTAATGCATTTGGTCCCTCACTTTTAAATTTTGCACCTGAGGTGAGTGCCTCACCTTTGTTCCAACTCTAATATTTAGACAGACTTGAGTTAAGGGTTCAGTGTAGCCTCCTAACAGTTCCTCAGTCTGAATTTCCCCTCTCCAAAATGAGAGTGATAAATGAAATGCCCTTGTAGGGTAGCTTTGAGAATTGAATGAGCTATTACATGTAAAACACACGTGTGCTTGACACAGAGTCAGCAATCAATACACACTGCCAGCACTACTGCTGTTAGTAATAGCACAGATGGCAGGGATAGCAATAATACTTAGGCAAACAGTCATCAATAGTAGGATCTAATCCCAATCCTGGAAAATTCCAACCTACTGGGAGACTCAGGCACGTAAACAGATCATCACCACTCAATGAACTGCTATAATAAAGGTTCACATGTGGCATGAAGAAAGCACTAAAGTGGGAAGGACCAACTGCCAAGCTCTCAGAGAAGGGGTTTTAAGTTGAGTACTGACGGCTGAGTCGGAGGAAAGAAGAAAGGTCATTCCAGGTTGAAACACCAGTGGGCACAAAGGCAGTGCGGCTGGAAAAGCCTGGGATGCTCAGAGGGAGGCCTTCTCTGTAGCTGGAATGGGGAGTTCTGGTGGGAGAGAGGTGGGAGGTGATGCTAATAAGGAAGGGCATGGTCTATGGATTAAGAGCCTTGGGTACCATTCTAAAGAGGTAATGCTTTGTTTTGGGGGGATAATAGGGGGTTCTATTGAAGGATTTTTGAGGCTCTGATTTGAGTGTTCATATATAAGTTTTAGAATGGCAACTGCATGAAGAATGGACAGGAGAGGGGGAGGGACTGGGGCCAGGGATGCCCATTAGGAGGCTATTTTAAGATTCAGGAGTAGGAGCTGAGGGTCTGAGTAAAGCACTAGCGGTGCTACTGGAAGGCAGCGCAAGATCTGAGCCACGTCTGGGAGGTGGACCCAGTGAGCCAGGGGTGGGTGGTGTGCAGCGCTGCGGGGAGGGACTGGATGGAGGGCAGCGAGGAAGAGCGAGTGTAGGCATATGTCTGCGGTGGGCGGGAGGAGATGGGGAGTCCGAGTTTGAACACGCTCCACTTGAGACGCCAGGGCCTGGCCAAGCTGGAGTGCTCAGCGGCCAGTGGAAGTGCCGGCTGGACTCAGAAGAAAGGAGAGGCTGGAGGAAGTATGGGCGATGCACGCGCTACGTCTGGGGGAGCTGCCCTAGAAAGGGGCGCAGGGGCCCAATCAGAGCGATTGTCTTCATCTTCCCTCGCCTCTGCTTTCAGTTTTATCTTTTTTATTTTTTACTTTTTTGTGAATCCCCGCCTGAGGATATTTTTTCCATTGTTTTTTCAGTGAGAGTAGGAGGGAGAGACGGAGGGGGGAGAGAGAGAAAGAGAAACATCGACGGAAGAGAGACACATTGACTGGTTGCCTCCCGCACATGCCCCAACCCGGGGCGGGAGCGAACCCACAACCCAGGTACGTGCCCTTGACTGGGAATTGAACCCAAAACCCTTTGGCCCGTGGGCTGACGCTCTAACCACTGAGCAGCACCAGCCTGGGCTCAGTTTTATCTTTTGATGACCCTTAATAATCTGTGTCTTCCCTTGTGGGACTTTGGCCTGGTCCCCCAGCAAACGTCCCCAGTTTCCTTACCCTGGCTATCTGGTCTGCCATTTGGAGTCGTCCATCCAGCTCTCGTCGGATCTGTGCTGCCTGCTCATCCGGATTGTCCAGCTGCGAGAAACACAAACATGGAGACTTTCAGTCTGAGTCACAAAAGCCAATAAACTCACAACTTTCCATCTCACTCCCCCACTCTGGGCTCTACGGACAGGTTTCACTAGAAGTAAAATTTCTTGTAACAGACAAATCCAGTTTGAATGAAATCCCATGTTAAATTCTTTTGGGCAGAGTGTGAAGTGGTTGGCAGTGCTAAGAAAGACATCTGAATGAGCCTGTACAAGAATCACTTGTGAACTGCCAGGCAGCAGTGTTTCTAATGAGGCCCCATGCAGCACTTCTGTTTTGGTTCAATGGAGAAAGTGCTTACACGGCAGATATGCAAGGAAGGAGATGGTAATGTAACTATTAATAATGTATGGAGCAGAGTGTGTATCCATAGTGCCTACATGGCACATATTCTGCTGCTCTCCCACCCCTGGACCATGAAAGATTAATCAATCGTTGCTTCCCTTCTCACTGAGCCTTCTCAACCAGCTCTCCAGAAGGCCCCTGCCCCTCAGCTGGTGATGATATCTAAGCTGAAATCGGTGCTGGTCTTCCATGATTGTTAGAGCAATTAGGATATAGGGATCAGAAACCCCAAGCATAAATGAATCCAGATAATTCCCTACTATCTCTGATTTCAGTTTTCCCATCTACAGAATGAAGGGGCTGTTTATGTAATCTGCATCTTTTTCACATCTTCCTGTTAATCTATGGAAGAGATTGGCAATCATTTCTGTACAGGGCCATATAATTAATATTGTAGGCTTTGAGGGCCATAGATAGAGCTCTGTTGCAATGACTCAACTCTTGTAATGAAGTGTGAAAAGAGCCATGAACAATATGTAAGTAAATGAGCACTGCTGTGTTCCAATAAAATTTTATGTACAACAACAGGTGGCGGGCCATAACTGCTGATCCCTGCCCTGTGAACTGAAGTTCTCTCTTTATTTCCAAGCAGCTTAGAGTCATCCTTCAAACTGTAATTGAGTCTGCTTTGTTCAGTAATTTATGATTTAATCATAGTAAAGGTTAATAAGTTGGGAGGAAAAGCGAACAGGATGGGCTTTCTTCTTCGTTTTAGTGTATATTAACTCACAACAAAAAGTGGCCTAAGAAGTCTCTGAGGTTCCTAAGTTCCTTTTTTTTATAAGCCACTTTTATTTATAAATTTGAAAATGATAAAATTGTTATTCATAAATTTAAAAATGAAAACCCAGCTTCATGCTAAAAAAATAATCTCCTATATGCTATGAAGTGATATAGAAGTTATTTGTACTAAGATGTAAATAAGATCACTAGAAAATGTATGGTCATACTTTGGAAGTATCATGACTAGTCTCTGTTTTACAAAACTATAGATGTTTTTACAAAACATCCACCTGGCTTTATGCTGTGCATTTTTTATCGCCCTGTTATATTCAGGAGTAGCCTTATCTTTTCCTTTCCACAGTTTTGAGGAGCAGGGCTATTTCCTAGACAATAAAGACTGCAAATTTTGGCAATATATTCTATGGTAACATTTCCTAAAGAGTGTTCTGCTTAACATCAATGTTATTGGATACTCTAGAAGAAAGGGTTTCAGAAGGGCTCCAGAGAAGTAGTCGAATAAGTTTGGGAAAATTCTGTGTTGAAAGGCATACAATATCTGAGAAGTTCTGCAGTAAGGATATCTATTAGACTTTGACCAACGTGAGATTTTTTAACTTAAATTTAAAGTTTGTATTTTTTGCATAATGTCCAGAGAACATAACTTCTAAATAAAGAGAACCTCTTGAAAACAGTTACATGATTGACCAGTGGTCTATCGATCACTGCTTGCCTTTAGGTGCACATGAAACATGGTATCTTCAATGTTGGTTTTAAGCTCCAATAAGATGTTTTTATTTGATACCCTTGGAAGCCAAACACTTCTTCAGATCCAGGTACAAACCCACTGGGAACACTTGGAAATGTCTTATTCAAAATACACATGCAAAGGAAACATCTGACTACTTCACTGAAAAGCAGCAAAGTGATTTGGTTAGGGGCTAAAGTTGTGAATTCTGTGAGAAGATATGGTGATGACAGAGGATAAAACTAAAAAGGGACTGGAAAAAACAACAAACAAACAAAGCCCAGAGTGAGTAGAGTAAGGAAATGATAAAGATCAGAGAAGAAATAAACAAAATAGTGTCTAAAAAACAGTACAAAAGATCAGTGAAACCAAGAGCTGGTTCATTGAAAATATAGACAGGATTGACAAACCTTTAACCAGACTCATCAAAAAAAAAAAAAAAAGAGAGAGAGAGAGGGGGCCCAAATAAATAAAATCAGAAATGAAGGTGGAGAAGTAACTACTGACAGCAAAGACATACAAGGGATGTAAGAAAATATTACAAATGGCTATGTACAACAAATTGCACAATCTGGGGGAGAAAAAAAAAAGGTTAAATTCCTAGAAACATACAATCTTCCAAAAGTGAATCAGGAGGCATCAGAGAATTTGAATAGACAGATTATAACTAGTGAAAACGAGGCAAGTATATAAAAAAACTTAAAAAAAATAATAAAATAAAACAACTCCCAACAAATAAAAGTCCTGGACTGGATGGCTTGATAGGTGAATTGTACCAAACATTCAACAAAGAACTAACACCTATCCTTCCTAAACTATTCCCCAAAACTCAAGTGTATAGGAAAACTCTCAAGCTCATTTTTTGAGGCCAGCATTATCCTAATTCCAAAACCAGATAAAGATACTACCAAGAAAGAAAATTATAGACCAATACCCCTGATAAACATAGATGCTAATATCCTCAATAAAACATTAGCAAGTTGAGCTAGCAATACATTAAAAAGATCATATACCATAATCAACTGGGATTTATTCTGAGGAAGCAAGGTTGGTACAATATCTATAAATCAATAAACATGATACATCACATAAACAAAATGAAGAATAAAAATCACATGATCATATCAATAGATACAGAAAAAGCATTTGATAAAATCCAGCACCCACTTATGATTTAAAAAATTCTCAGTAAAGTGGAAATAGAGGGAACATACCTCAATATAATAAAGGCCAGATATGACAAACCCACAGCCAACATCATACTCAATGGGCAAAAATTAAAGCATTTCCCTTAAGATCAGGAACAAGACAGGGATGTCCACTTTCACCACTCTTATTCAACATAGTACTGGAAGTCCTAGCCACAGTGGTCAGACAAGAAAAAAATATAAAAGAAATCCAAATTGGAAAGGAGCAAGGAAAACTGTCATTATTCACAGATGACATGATATTGTACTTAGGAAACCTTAAAGACACCACCATAAAGCTATTATATCAAATAAATGAATTTGTCAAAGTAGCAGGATACAAAATTAATATTCAGAAATCGGTGACAGTTTAATATACCAATAGTTCATTAACTATCAGAAAGAGAAACTAAGTAAACAATCCCATTTGCTATCGCAACAGAAAAGATAAGGTACCTAAAAATAAATTTAACCAAGGAGGTAAAAGACCTGTACTTGGAAAACTGCAGGACATTGAAGAAAGAAATAGAGGAAGATACAAACAAGTGGAAGCATATATGGTGTTCATGGATTGGAAGAATTAACATCATAAAAATGCCCATACTACCCAAAGCAATCTATAGATTCAACAAGATTCCTATTAAAATATCAATGGCATATTTATTTCACAGATCTAGAACAAATATTCCAGAACTTTATATGGAACCAAAAAAGACCCTGAATAGCCTCAGCAATTGTGAGAAAGAAGAACAAAGTTAAAAGTATCACAATACCTGATATCAAACTATACTACAAGGCCATTGTAATCAAAACAGCCTGGTATTAGCATAAGAACAGGCATATAGATCAATGGAACAGAATAGACAGCCCAGAAATCAACCCATGTCTATACGGTCAATTAATATTTGACAAAAGAGGCAAGAACATACAATGGAATAAAAACTGTCTCTTCAATAAATGGTGTTGGAAAAATTGGACAGGTACATGCAAAAAAATGAAACTAGTCCACCAACTTACACCATATACCAGAATAAACTAAAAATGGATAGAAGACTTAAATGTAAGTCACTAAACCATAAAAATCCCAGAAGAAAACATAGGCAGAAAAATCTCAGACATCTCTTGTAGCAATGTTTTTGACGATATGTCTTTTAGGTCAAGGGAAACAAAGGAAAAAATAAACAAATGGGACTACATTAAACTAAAAAGCTTCTGCACAGTGAAAGAAACCATCAACAAAATGAACAGGGAACCCATGGTATGGGAGAACATATTCTTCGATGATACATCTGATAAGGAGTTAATTTCAATATATATATATATATATATATAGAATGTATATAACTCAACACCAGGAAGACAAACAATCCAATTTTAAAAATGGGCAAAGGACCTGAATAGACACTTCTCCAAAAAGGACATACAGACGGCCAAGAGATATATGAAAAAGTGCTCAGAGAGATGCAAATTAAAACCACAATGAGAGATCACCTCACACCTGCCAGAATGTCTACCATCAACAAATCAATAAACAAGTGCTGGTGAGGGTGTGGAGAAAGGGGAGCCCTGGTACACTGCTGGGAGGAATGCAGACTGGGGCAGCCACAGTGGAAAATAGTATGGAGGTCCCTCAAAAAATATAAAATGGAACTTCCTTTTGACTTAGCAATTCCACTTCTGGGAATATATCCTGAGAATCCTGAAACACCAAACAGAAAGAATATATGCTCCTCTATGTTCATAGCAGTGCTATTTACAATAGCTAAGATCTGGAAACAGCCCAATGCCCGTCAGTATATAAGTAGATAAAAAATCTGTGGTTCATTTACACAATGGAATACTAAGTGGCTGTAAAAAAACACACAAGGAAATCTTACCTTTTGTCACAACCTGGATGGACCTGGAGATTATTATGCTAAGTGAAATAAGCCCATCAGATAAAGATAAATACCATATAATCTCGTTTACATATGGATTCTATTGAA